CCTAGTGTTTTTGTATTATATAGAACACATTTAGTTAAGAGCAGGAGACTATTTTTAAAAAAGTTGTTTTTTGCATCACCCTAATATACATATATATGGGCAATTTCATTTTTAATTTATGTTACATGCGCAACAACTTTATCAAATGCCTATTAAAACTGTAAATTAAACTTTTAGGTATTTTGTATGAAAGAATAAAATAAGCTAAAAAGTTTTGAGTCTGGCGGAAAGAGGGCAAACTTATTACTGAAAATGCCACTTAACTTACGTTACATGGAAAACTAGGTAAAAAAATTACTTTAACTTTTAGATCAGATTTTTGCAAACCAATAAAGCGGTTTGTATTAGAAACTTTCACAAGATGTTAAGAATTCTATGCCAATTTAAAAAATATATAAAATTTTATCAGAGGTGACCAGGTATGGAAAATAAACTAGTTTTTTTGATACTATATATCTAACTTATGTTACATCACTTAGGTTACCATGGGATTTATAATCATTGATTTTTTACTTCTATTATTTCGAGTTAGAGTTACCTAACAAAACAATTGTAAAAGTATTGAACTCATTCATTAAAAACAATTAACACAGGAAATTTTAAAAAACTGTTCATCACTCTTCCTGAGTGATTTTTCATAACATTTATAAAAGTTATCAAATCAAAAATCAATTTCTTGGTCCGCAAGACCAAGAACAATTTTTAAAAATTATTTTAGTAATACAACTTTTAAATACTTATTTGAGTCGTTTAATTAAGAAAATCTTTTTGAAGTTTATACTAACACTTCTTACATTATTTTCATTTGGTTGAATTTTTAAAATGCTGCAAAATATTTACATTTAAATCTTTTTAAATATTCATGACGAAAAACTGCTATCATAGTTTAGGAGAGAAAGGGGCATAGGTCATCCTAGTCATACTTTAAATATCCGGAAAACTGTTTGGATAAAATATCCGGAAAAAATCCGGAATTTGTTTTTCCTTATTTTCTTTTTAATTTCGTTTTTAGCTAAGTTGATTCTAATTTTTTTTAAATCCTTTTCATATTTTTTTTATGAGTGATGAGTCAAAAAGCTTAAAAAACAAATATATAACAAAAATATATACCTCAACTTGCAGTTATTGAAAATGTTTTGGATATCCGTAAAACTTATAAGTTGAAAAAAATATCCAGAATTCCGGAAATATCCGGAAAAAGATAATCCCTGGAAAGGGGTTCAGATATATGTGATGGTTTGTGATAAGAGAGAAGGGGTTAAAAATTGATAAACATGGGTAACGTGCTTTATGGATGACCCATAATAGCATTTACAAATGATTTATTTTATTAAAACAAAAACAAAAAAAATTCTGAACGATTTTTTTAAAGCAAAATATAAATAATTTTAATTAACATTAAAAAAAATAAAAGATTTTTTCCTAAATTCTCCTAATACAGTTAGAACCTTGTCAACGAAATAATAATTACTTAATGACGTAATTTATTTTGTTAACGAAAAGTAAATGTTTGTAGTTTAAAACTGTGTAACTAACGTTACACAAATTTAAAATAACGTTACACAAATTTAAAATAAAAATGTGCTTTAACTAAGCATCGTTATTCAAAACTTTAAATGCAAAAATGTAACAATTAATATTCTTTTGCATATATTATTAAAAACTTAAGTTTTTTAACAGAATTTTATAAAAAACAAAACTTTATCATGTTTTTGTTAACTTACGTTACATAAAAATTGCAAAAGTTCATTCGCTATTTTCTTAAAATATATATATTTTTTATAAAGTTTAAAATCTGACCAACAAAATTTGAACATGTTATATATTTTGGAAACAATTTTCAGCCTAAAAATCAATATTACCTTAAGCTGGTAGCAAACAACAATATCTTTAATAAACCTAAACAGTAGCCCATTTTTTTTCCATTGTAAAATTTATAAATTTTTTTTTCAATTGTTACAAATTAAAAAAAAATTTATAAAGATGTATATATTTTCATAGAAAATACTCTCACCTCTCTCTCTCTCTCTCTCTCTCTCTCTCTCTCTAATATATATATATAAATATATATATAAATATATATATATATATATATATATATATATATATATATATATATATATATATATATATATATATATATATTTATATATATATATATATATATAAACTATTTACAAAACTACTTTAGATTAAAAATAATTTTAAATTTACTCATCCTCCTCATCAGTGTAACAAATTGGAGCCAGTATCTAGTATAAATAAAATTATATATAATATAAATTATGCACATCATTTTATATAAATTATGCATAAATTACTATTATGCATAAATTATGCATAACATATTTAAATAAGTTTAATTTATACACAATATTTAATTAACATGACAAATGACAAGACAAATGTACAAATATAAGATATTTTTCTTGGCTCAAGATATGTCAATAAACATAAAGCATACACCCATGTTTATAGGTGTCAGACTAATAAATCTTTAAAACAACTAAAAGCAACTTTAAAGTTGCTTAAAGTTTAAAGGCTTTTAAGTTCTTTTCTTTGTACTCTTTTACCTTAAATTCGCTTAAATCATTGAAATCAAACAAAGCTTAAAAAACTAACAGAGCATTACTTCTATTTTTATGTAAACTAAAGCTATTATTATATGAACCAAAGTTTTGCTTTAAAATTTGAAAGAAGATTTAGCAATCATTTTTTTAATCTCGGCAACAAATTAAACAAACCTCTGCTTTGCTTAATCGCAACACTGCAACACCTCTATGAAGAAGAGAGCCAAGCATTCCTTCTTTTTTAAAACGACAGTTATCTAGATTTACGCTATGCCAAAGTTCGCTATCATGCCTATTATGAGTTTAAATTTAACAAAGTAGGCAATTTAAAAATATTATTTCACAAGTTGATAGTAAAATAAATTTAATAAACCTGAACTTACGTGAGAGTTTTCCACCTTTTATTAACTCTTGCAGCTTTTGTTAGAGAATTAATTGGTAAATATGAAAAAATCCTGATGATAATTTCATCACTTAACAGCAAAAAGTTGCTGATATCTTCACCTAGATTATATAAATAATATTTAATTAATAAAATTAAACATTCACTACCTACTGAACTTAACACTATTTTGATCTAGCATTGTTAATATAATGGAATTTTACATTGTTGATACAATGTAGTTTTACATTGTTGACACAATGTAGTTTTTTTACATTGTTGATACAATGTAATTACACATTGTTAATGAAAAAGATGTTTCGATTGGCGAGACACACTACTTAAGGTAGAAATTTCTACCTTAGAGAAGAATATTTTACCTTAGCAAGATATAATTTTTTTTTATAGTAAGATATAAGTCGCAGGGTAAAGCATAAGTGGCAATGATGTTTGTCTGACGGGATAAACTAGTTATAAATGCTGATCCTCATCGAAACGCCAGTAATAATAGACGCGACTCTGAGGAGATGTTTATTACTTAATCACTACACAAATTATGTTTACACATTAGCATTAATGTTTTTTTTTTCCATTCTTAGGCCTTGTGATCGGTTTTTTTGTTTTATAAGTTTTTGTCTGGTGATGTATTTGTTGTATATCTTTGTTCATATTGGTGTTTATAAAACAATTTTTTTTTGTTTTTTTATTTTTTTGTTATTGTTATTATTGTTGAGTATTGTTTTGGGTGTATAGCCTGTCTTATTTATTTTGAAATATTCCTCTATTAATATTTATTTTTGTCTTGACAACTGTCAAAATATGCTTTGTTCAATAAATAATTCTCCTTTATTCTAATGTACTTTATTTCTTCCCTCAGGCATTTACTGCTTGTGTGTGACCATTTAGCGAATTTTATATGCCAAAGTTTTTAAATAATTATATATAAAATTATACCTTACAATGGCTATATCTCATATCCTACTCTAAGGTAGTAATTTTTACTTTTTTTAAAAAAAAAAAAAAATCAATTAAGTAATGAAATGCTAATGAATTTTTCTGAATGAATTGAATTTTTCTTGAATACAATGAATTTAAAGTAATAACTTGAATTGTTAACAGTTCTTTCAAAGCCCAAATAATAAATATAGCGATCATAAGAATTTAATCAAAATAGTTATTTACTTTTTTTTGTTGTAAAAAATCTGGATAATCCCAGAAAATCTTATGTTCAACTAATCGAGGAAGGTATGTGGAACGTTGGTAAAGGGATAAAAAAAAACAACTAAAAAGTGCCGAATAATTATGTTTAAAATATAATATTTCAGTTTTACTGTAAACAATCAGCAAATTATAATAGTTTATTTTTTAAAATTTTTAAAAAATTATTTTTAATATAAAATGTCAGACAATAGTTCAGAAATCAATACTTTTTATTCTTGTAATTTTCTGCAAAACATTCATCAACTTTTCTTTTTCTGCACTTTTTTGCATCATCAATAATAGATTCTTTAACTATTTTGCACCGTTCATGTGAGACAATTTTTTATCAGTGTTGAATTTATATTTCAAAAACGTTCTTCAACTATTCTGTTTTTCTGATGGAATTCCATAGTTTTTAATAAAGCGTTTGCTTGCAATTTGAAAATGACCACAGATGTTTTTGTTAACTAGTCATGCAATGTATCTCGTCTTTTAAAGTACCCTAGTGCTGTAGTCTTGTTTGCTAATAAGTGATTTAACTGAAGCTATAGCGGAGCTTGTGTTTAGAAATAAATGGATGTGCCATAGCTTCTGCATTTGATGTCTGATCTCTAAAACTAAAACAATAGGTTTAATGGTAGGCTTCATATTATTTGTGCAAGTACTGCCGATATGCACATTATCTCGAGTGCTGTATAGCAATATACATGTATCTTTTTTTTCTAAATAAATAAAAAAAAGACAAGAGTATAGCTTTGTTTGACTTAATTGTTGCATAGTTTTGACAATGTATTTTGCATGGCTAAGTAAAGACTTTTTACCTTCACTTTCGTAATAAGAGTCTTTAATACATATTGTAGTAAAGTCGTACCTAACACATCAAATCAAATTTTTTATGAAGAAACTACCTATTTAAATGTTCAGGGAACAAACTTTATCTATCTTTATCTTTCTTATGTAAGTCACTTTAACTTTATCTTTCTTATGTAGGTCGCTTTAACTAATTTTCTTATGTAGGTCGCTTTAACTTTATCTTTCTTATGTAGGTTGCTTTAACTTTATATTTCTTATGTAGGTTGCTTTAACATTATCTATTTTTCCTATGTAGGCTAAATAATACACTCCATTATCTTTCTCTTGAAGCCAACTCCAGTCAAACTTGTTTTTATTTTTGTCTCCAAAATATCAAATAAACTCTTTACTTCCATTTTATAATATTTTCTTTTTGATCATAATAATTGACAACATTATAAATTTATTAAAAATATTATAGCAAAAATCGATCTTGTGAAAGTTTCAGTTATAAAAAACAAATTTATTCAAATGCAAATGTTGTCATAATTAAAATTTTAAATATTAAATTAGTAGCAAAAAACATACAGAAATTTCCAGAAACTTAAAAGAATTTTAAGTGAATTTCCCGAATTATGGGAATTCCCAGAAATGAGTCAGGGAATTCCCGAATTATGGGAATTCCCTGACTCATACAACCTTCAACTTTTTTTAACGGTTGACAGTCTTCTGTCAACCGTTTCCTTGCTCTATTACTCTATTCTTTTATTCTAGTAACCTCTACTTATGGCATTTATGGCATACATATTTTTTATAACATACATATTTTAGAGTATTTTAATGAATAAACTTTTAGACATTTTTCAACCATAGAAAGAAAGCTAACAAGTTTGAATTTTGAATACAAAAATGATAATATGTAGATATTTATTTCATTTTGGTTCGAATAACATACACACATTATGTACATACAAAATATGCACTCTTTGGAACTCTCTCATATCTTCATGTTTTCCTGACTCATACAACCTTCAACTTTTTTCAACGGTTGACAGTCTTCTGTCAACCGTTTCCTTGCTCCATAACTCTATTCTTTTATTCTAGTAACTTCCAACTTAATAGTAGTTGCTTGCAGTTGTTGGGAGTGAATCAGAATTAAAAAAAAAAAACAATAAAAAAACACATACAAAATATGCACTCATTGTGCACATACAAATATGCCCTCATTGTATACATAGACAATATGTGCTAATTGTGTACAAAATGTACAATCAAAATAAATTTTTGAAAAATCATTCTATGAAATAAAAGGATTTAAAAAAATGGGGACAAAGATAAAGATTATTAAAATGTTTTACATTAGAAAAGCTATAAGAATACTATTAAAATATTTCTTTTATTATAAAAAGGGTTATTAAGACTAGAAAATATGGGACTTGCTTATTACTGATTTTAATTTCAATAATAGATCAACTTCACTATGTAAAAATTTAAAATTACCTTGCTCTTTACAAACTCCACTTTCTCCACTGCTTCGCAACTGTAATTTACAACATTAGTTATAATACTTTCTCAACTGCGAGACAACATAAATTAACATAAATTAACTAATAGTTATGCAATATAAACAATGTACTCATTAATACAAAACAGTGAAATAAAAAAATTTTTTTTTTCCAAAAAAAAACACCATTTCAAAAAACAAACAAACAAACAAAAAAACACCAAGAGAGGATTTGAAATATTTTCAAAATTAACATAATAAAGTCTTAATAAACAGATAGAATTTCAAAAAAACCAAAAAATTTCTAAAAAATATGAAAACATAAAAAAAGTCAAAAGAACAAATTAATTATATTTCAAAATAAACAAAAAAAAAGTAGAAGAACAAAAGTAGAAAGAAAAAAGTAGAAAAAAAAAAAGACGTGTAAATAAATAGAGTACTCAGAGTAATCACGGCATCGATAGGGTCGATCAATGGGGTTGCATCAATGGGGTTGCATTTTTCTCTTATTTTTAGGTCCTTTAGGTGAGCCTTTCTTAGTTGTTGACTGTTTTATTGTAAATTTAAATGTGAACTTTATAAGAACAATAATCTCAAAAATAAATTTATTACAGAAAAATGGTTCCTCAGAAACATTGCTTCTTTTTTTTTAAATAAAAATAAATGATGCTTTGTTTGCAAGTTATTAAGATGTTGGTGGGTGGGTTAAGACTAAGATACACAAAGATATTTGTATGTATGCATCGATTTAATATAATCAAGAAATATATATATATATATATATATATATATATATATATATATATATATTTCTTGATTATATTAAAATGATTTTAAACCCATGCATACATACAAATATCTTTGTGTGTACCACTCTTTTGCATTGTCAAGGCCTTATTGTAGATACTGTAAAGGCAAGATAAGATAAGATTTAAAAAAGGCAAGAAAAGATTTGTTAAAACTTTGTGCTGACTAGTAAGAATCAAAAACTGTTATTATAATATTTATCATTTAAAAAAAAGCTTATCATGAAAAAACTCTTTTTCTATCTATCTTTTATAAATATTTGTTGTCTTCAAAGCAACTTTTTATCTGTAGATTCTAATCTCTTTTATAATTAACCTGACCTAGTTTTTAAAATTTTTTAAAAATCTAATATTTCATTTTTAGATATCTGTATTGATGACTATTATATGAATGGATATCCTTTGTTTTTCCTATGACTATTAAAGTCTTTCATAGGGTTGGCATAGCAGAATGCTGACCCTAATTCTGACAGGCTGGACAGGTAATATAATAACTTAATATAGTATAAACCTAATATAATATATATTATTATAGACAGTTAACATCATTTAATTTAATATAATATAAACTATAAGAAAACATTAAACATGTATAAACAAAAAAATATGTATATATAAAAAAGCTATAGGGTCATAGACACTGAATTTTTTAATAAAAATAGAAACTCAAATTTTTACAAAACTAAAGTTTCGTAAAAGGTTGCATTTAAAGGTTACATTTGAATACAAAATGAATATCCTTTAAATTAAAACAAAAATAAGTATAAAACCATAGTTGAAAACAAAAAGTTTCGTAAAAGGTTGCATTTAAAGGTTACATTTGAATACAAAATGAATATCCTTTAAATTAAAACAAAAATAAGTATAAAACCATAGTTGAAAACAAAAAATATAAAACATCAAATAAAAAAAATAAACTTTTTTGTTTTATTATTACCTTATTATCCCTTAAGCATTTCTCCACATCAACATCTTCACTGTTCCGCACAACTGTGTCTGTCTTTTTACTTGATAAAAAAAAGCTATTTTTGCGTTCACCACCCCAACGATGTGGTATTGCTGCCATTTTTTTTGCAAGCATATTTTTTAACCTAACACTGCCTAAAACTTTTTAAATCATTAAAAATTATTTACATATCATTAATTCTTAAAACTCGATCAACATGATTAGATTTCACAAATGATGTTGATGTTTTAAAATTAACATTCTTCAATTTTAATATATTATTTGATCTGTATTAACATATACCAACAATATAACAAAATATACCCTTGAATTACATAATAAATAGATTTTGCAACTGAATTAAAAACTTTTATTATTTTATTTTTGTTTTCATTTCAAATAAACAAATTAAAAAAAACTACAAATACATATAAAAAAAGATTTTCTGTATATATATATAAAAAAAATAAAATAAAGCAATTTAATTTTTCCACTTAGATTTATTTTTCTTGTCTAATAAAGCTCCTGATTTAAGATTGTCTATCTCATCTTTTTGTAAAGTAAGCTTTTCATTCATTCCACACAAGTGATCAGTAAGTGTCCTCATCTGTTCTTCATAACTTCGTTTCGTGGTTTCCAGTTCATCCTTTGAAAACAAAAAAACAAAAAAATAAAAACAAAACAAAGAATAACTAAATATTATTTTACAAAACAACATTAGGCAACAATAAACTTAAAAAAAAATTTCTTCAAAATGTTTTACAAGGAGGTGCAGCCTCCTATAAACTTTTGATAATTTTTTACTCATGTTAAGCGTTAGATTCTTATTCATGCAATGTTAAATGTATTGCTACTGCAAATTTTAATTGTGACATTTAGAATATTTTTTTTTAGATCAGAAGATTCTCTTCAATATTACTGAAACTACACTACCTCTAAACATTTAACTCTTATAAATTAAAAAGATTGGCACAGTAAGCTAAAAAACTAAAAACAATTGACATAGTAGGCTCAAAAATTTAAATGATTTCCATAGTAAGCTCAAAAATTTAAATGATTGGTATTCCAAATTATATCAGCAAAGGTCTTTGAGTCTTTGATCAACAAATTCCTCACATCTCATCTTGAGTCAAACAAACTGCTGTCGGACAATCAATACGGTTTTCGATCCTCTCGCTCTACGCCCGACTTGCTAACTGCTGTAACTGAAAGATTTTATTGTGCATTAGATGGAGGTGGTGAGGCTAGGACTATTGCTCTCGACATATCTAAAGCTTTCAATAAAGTTTGGCATGCTGGTCTTCTCCATAAGCTTGCTTCATATGGTGTTTCTGGGAAAATTTTTGAGATAATCAAATCATTTCTTTCTAACCGGTTTATTAAAGTCATCCTTGAAGGCCAACACTCTTCTTTATTTCCAGTAACTTCTGGGGTTCCCCAAGGTTCCATCCTGGGCCCTGTTTTGTTTCTTATCTACATAAATGATCTTCCTGACAACCTTTCATCTAAAGTAGCTCTTTTTGCTGATGACTCAACTTTATACTCCTGTCTTGACAAAAAGTCTTCTCTTTTCGATCGCCTAGAACAAGCAGCTGATCTTGAATCTGATCTCACTTCAATAATAGATTGGGGTTCACAGTGGCTTGTGAATTTCAACTCTAAAAAACCCAATTGCTTACTGCAAACAACTACCGTAATATGGTCAACATTCTCGGCACTTCAAAGGATTGAAGTGCGGAGAAAAAAACTAGATGAATAAAAACTTTTATTCATCTAGTTTTTTTCTCCGCACTTCAATCCTTTGGAATTCTCTCCCATCTTCATGTTTTCCTGACTCATACAACCTTCAACTTTTCAAGTCTTCTGTCAACCGTTTCCTTGCTCTATAACTCTGTTCTTTTTTTTTCCTAGTAACTCCCAACTTAATAGTGGTTGCTTGCAGCCTTGTTGGGAGTGAATGCAAATAGAAAAAAAAAAAAAAAAAAAAAAAAAAACAACAATAAATAAACAAAAAAAAAGTTTTGTTTAAAAAAACATAAATTCATTAATTTTGAAAATTTTAAAACTTAAATAGAACAATATAGAATTAGTATGAGATATCACTGGATTTTTATCACATATCACTGGATTTTTATCACATAACACTAGATTTTTATCACATATCACTGGATTTTTTTCAATTTCTCTAAATTGAAACACACAGCTAATACCAGTACTAACAGAGTCAGCACATGTGATATATTACCATTCGATACACATGTGTAAGCAATAATAATACTCTAAACAGTACCAAAAATACTGTTTAGAGTAGTAAACAACAATTTTTAATAATATTGAAACTTTTTAAATAATATTGAAACTAATATTTATATATTCAAAACATTTATTACTGATGAAAATTAGCAACAAAAATTTCTAAAAAATATAACAGATTATATATAAATGATTTTAATTGATTACAAAAAAAGTTAACTATTGATTAAACATTTAACTAAAGAGATTTAAGATCGGCCAGTTAGAAGCAACCAAAAACCAGCAGTAGAAATCGAAACACATTTTGACGATGTTAGACTCGTGGTGAGATATTAGAAGTTTGTTAAAGACTTAAAGACTTTGCTAATAATAGACTGGGCAATAGTATAAGGAGCCAGAGTAGTCTGGAGAGTTTACGTAAACTGTGTTCATAGCAACCATATACTAATAAAGAAAAAAAAAAGACATTTGCTGGTTTTTATATAATTTTTTGTTTGAGGCATTTAAGAAAAAACAACCTGAAATAAAACCAACAGTTACAAACCAACATGGACCTTAACTAAAAGCTTATTTATCAAGATTTTTAGATGGTTAAAAAAACAATATTAAAGATGTTTAAAAACATTTAAATGATAATAAATATTATAATAATCGTTATAAGTGTAATATTATTTATAATAACAAGTTAATAATTTATAAGGATGGTGTAACTCATACAGAATAATTTATAAGGATGGTGTAACTCATACAGAATAATTTATAAGGATGGTGTAACTCATACAGAATAATTTATAAGGATGGTGTAACTCATACAGAATAATTTATAAGGATGGTGTAACTCATACAGAATAATTTATAAGGATGGTGTAACTCATACAGAATAATTTATAAGGATGGTGTAACTCATACAGAATAATTTATAAGGATGGTGTAACTCATACAGAAGTTCTTTTTCATGACTTAAAGTGCAATGAACTTTGTTACAGGTTCAAAATATTTATTTGATACAGGTTCAAAATATTTATTATTATCAACATCTTTTCTTTATTTTAATAAAAAATTAATTTTAGAAAATTCTAAAAAAAAATTTATTCTTACTTCTTCATCATTATTTCATTCATTACTTCACATCATTATTTCTTATCATTAAAATATACTAGTAATTTTCTTATTGTTATTACTGCAATTATTATCACTACATTTTTGTTTGTTGTATTTTTGCTTTTGTCATTATTACCTGCAAATTATGAGTTTTTTTTAACTATGTATGTTCTATGTGCTTATTGTTAATCGTATATTTAAAACTTGATCTCACTCCTTTGGTCAAGCTTCTGTATGAGTTACACCATCCTTATAAATTATTAACTTATTATTATAAATAATATTACACTTATAACTGTTATTATAATATTTATCGTTTAAATGTTTTTAAGTATTTTTAATCTTGCATTAATTTGCTATTCTTTTGGAAAAATATGAGCTTGATGAGTATTTTAAATTATTTATTTTAAATTCTAATTAAAAGCATATCACTAAAGCAATTAAATTCAGAAATTACATCCTAAAACTTTTTAAACAACGTAATCTCTTCTTTAAACATTTAATCTGAAAAACAGGTTTTCTAAAATGCATTTGAGATAAAACAATATTGCAATTTTACAATCATGCTACTCAAACAGCCATTTAAACACCCAACAGACCACCCAATATTCACTGTTGTGAATATTGAGAATATTCATAAGCTTTCTAGTTTATTTAAAATATAACAAAATATTATAACTCATGACAAAATGACCTTTAAACTTTAATGTTATTTCATCATTAGGCTACTACTTGAAAAATATGATATACAATTTTTTAAACAAAAAGTTCCCAAATCTACCGATTTGCAGGTTTTTTTTACATCTTATCAAAAAGATCTTACCACCCAATATTTATAGCAAAATACTGTTTTTTGTACTGTATAGTGTATGCAATTATTACTAGAAAATGTTCTCAAAAAACAACATAAAAGAATTAAGTAGTCACAGTATAAAACACGTTTTTGTGTGGGCCCCTCAAAACATGCTTTAATACTTTGTTTTGGCTCCTTAAGACATGTTTTAATACTTTGTGTGGGCCCCTCAAAACATGTTTTAATGTTTTGTGTGGACCCCTCAAAACATATTTTAATACTTTGTGTGGGCCCCTCAAAATTTTTGAACAGCCTACTTCTCAACATTAAGGCAACAAGAGACACAGTATTTAGGCGTTTTTTTTTGAAACCATAATTTCAATATGACTTTTTTATGATCTGCTAGTGAGGTTGGGCTCTGTTTAGAAACTTCTGTTCTCAATTTTACCTAACAATTTTCGATAGCTTATGTTATCTTAGTCCCTAGATATTGTTTTAGTTTATACTCTAGATTCAAATATGTTAGACTTTTGAAAAACGATGGGAATTATAAACAATTTTTTCCTTACGGAGTTTTATTCCTAAACATTGAAGTAATCAAGCTAAAGACAAAATTAACCAGATTTTATATAGATCAAAATAAAACTAAAATAAAACAGAAGACAAAATTAACCTGAAGTTCTTCTATTCTCTTATTGGATTCTAAAATATTATTAGAAAGTTTTTGTTTGTTCAAATCTGCTAGCACCAATTGTTTGTACATTGAGTGTGCCTATTTATAAATTATTTCATTATTATATACTATATATTTAGTACTAAAAAAACAAAACATACTATATATTTTGATAAAATTAAATGCTAACAAAAAAAGTAAAAAAAATAAATCCATTTCTAAGCTTTGTAGTACTTTACAAAATGAAATTAAAAAAAATAACATAGTTATTTTTTTTAATTTCATTTTGTAAAGTACTACAAAGTTATAAATAAACATAATAATAAAAAAGTTACCTCGTGGAAGAAATCAATACATTTGCTGTCTGTTATTTGAAGCTAAAAATATTTTACATTAAACTAAAATAGGTGTAAAACCAGATTAAAAATGTCTAACAGATTTAAAATGTCTAACGAATTAAAAATGTCTACCAGATTAAAAATGTTTAACATATCAAAAATGTCTACCGGATTAAAAATGTCCAACAGAATATCAGTAGAAAACTATTATTATTTTTTATTATTTTGTTTTTTGGAAATTGATAATTTTTGAAAATATCAGTGTCATAAACATCATAGTGATAGTGACATAGTGAAACTACTAACATGGATGTAGTGAAATGAGATAGTAAGATGAGATGCCTCTAGTGTCTTTAGCTGTGAGATCTCTAGTTCTCCACTCCTAGTATTAACAACAAAAAATAAAAATTCTTTTTCATAAAACAGGTGTCAATGGTTCCCAAAATTGTATTAGTAATATTTTAAAATGTTATTAGAAGGAGAAGAGAATTATATAGACAATAAAATGACTTTAAAAAAATATGAATACATTACAATCATATATGATTTAAATATATGGCAAGGAAGTTAAATCCATATTTTGGTAAAGCACTTTGATAAAAAAATCTACAAAATGTACCATAATTTATACTCATTGATTTAACAAGTTTAAAATTCCTTGAGCATGAAAGGGCTCATTTTATTCTTTGTCGAAATATATAGTTATAGCGTCTATAGTGTATACCCTTATAGTGTCTTTTAATATATATTTAAAAAAATCTTCAACAAACTCGATTACAATTGTAAAAAGAGTACTAATAATGAAATAGGAAATTCATATGATAGAAATAAACTCTACACTTATCATCAGTAAAATTCTTATAGAAGTCAACCCTAAATAAATTTTAAAATAATCCCATAAAATTTAATTAAACAATTAAAGTTATATTTTAAAAAACATATTTTATGTAAATTATAAAAACATGAATTTTTACTTGTTTTGTTAACTGAGCTATGCGATTGGTCATATGGTTTTTAAGTAAAACTTCATTTTCACTTTCAGATGATACCTTAGTAGATAAAAAAAAAATTTTCAAAAGATTAAAAAAATTAAAAAAATACTATTACAAAAGATAATAAAGGTTATAAACTTACATGATCTTTATTTAAAATTTCTACAGTTCCAACCTATGGTGTCAATGGACAATAATTTTAAAAATTATTTTCTTTTATAAATTTACTCTTTTTATTTATTTATAGTTTTTAAATTACTTTTATATTTTCTTTTTTTTTTTAATTTTCTATTGTTGACATATTTTTTGTTAAACAAAAGATTAAAAAAGTTCTTTGGTTAGAATTTATTCGCAAAGCTTATAAGCAAAGTTTATAAAAAAGTTATTTGGTTAGAATAAGCAAAGTTTATAAAAAAGTTCTTTCGTTAGAATAAACAAAGTTTTTTAAAAAGTTCTTTGGTTAGAATAAGCAAAAGTTATAAAAAAAAGAAACAAAAAAACATAAAATACTACTAAAGATTAATACTTTCGTCAAAACAGCTGGTAAATCAGAACTAGAAGACACTGATGATGTACTGCGCATAGATCCTCTCCAATCAGAATGCCCTGTACTAATCTAAAAGTATTTTAAATAATGTTTAAACTTGAATATTACAATCTTTGTTAACTAGTATCATTAACTTATACACTGAGTGGGCAGCAATGTTTTTTACTAATTATCATTAACTTATACATCCAGTAGGCAGCAATCAATTTTTAACTAGTATCATTAACTTATACATCCAGTAGGCAGCAATCAATTTTTAACTAGTATCATTAACTTATACATCCAGTTGGTAGAAAAATTATTTCTTACACTAGTGAAAATCATTTTACCATTATAGCATATTTTACATACTTTTAAATATTTGTATTAATTTTGTAGTTCCTAGCTTAAAAACTTTCAAAAATAAAACTTATATTTATATTTCTTTTATTTCAATATTTAAATTCTAAAGCAATTAAGACACACTCTCAATTTGGTAAATAGTAAAAAAGTTTGCCAAATTTAATGAAATTTGTTAAACAGTACTTTTAAATTTTCTTTATGGTGTATCTATACACTGATAAGAGCAAATTTTAAAGTGATGTTTAAACTTTTTTAGCTTTTTATTCAAATAATATAAGTTTCTTGATTTCTTGGTTATCTTTATTATTCAAGCTTATTTACAACTCTGAATATAATATCACAGTCAACTTTTTAAATATCACAACATAAACTAAAATATTTTAAGTAAAAAAATAACTTTTTGTTCTACAAGATATATATTTTTTTTATTGCATATTTATCTCGCTAAGATTAAGGAAAACACTAATATCACTTATTATTATTTTTCTCCCCCAGGGAGTTTGCTGTTTTTTAAAATAACTCAATAAATATTAATAGAAAATGTGCTTACAAAATTCTCTTCGTTTCTTAACATTGATCCTGCTTCTTCATTTCTTGATAAAGATTCTGTTTTACATTTTTGCAATTCTTCTGTCAGCAATAACGTTTTCTAAAAAAAAAAAAAAAAAAACTGTATATTTATTTATGTTTCAAATAATTTAACAATACAAATTAAAAATATTTTTACACAATATATAACTTAAATTATAACTTATTATATTATAAATTATAAGTTAACCTTGATTTCTTTATCATATTTAGCTTTCAGTAGTTGAGCTTCAATCAGCCATTTTTCTTTCTCCTATGATATAAAAAAACTTTTTGATATTAATGCATTTATAACTTGAAAATTTAAAATAATTTAAACATGTTTATATATAATAACAATTGCAATAATAACAATTATAAAGATGACAGCAATCATGATGATGATGATAATAGTGATGATGATAATGATGATGATAATGATAAAAATTACCTAAAATCAAAATACCTGTTCAAGTCTTACAATTGTTTCTTGAGAATTTGCTGCCTAACAAAAAAATTAAAAAAACATTAAAAACAGCAAACCCAGCTTATACAATACTGGAATTTAAAAGTTTATTGTGAAATGTTTGAGTGTTTCACAACTTATCATATGTATGCAAAAATTGTTTAAACTTAAAAACAACACTAATGGCAGATTCACAAAGAAAATTATACTAATTTTCTTTGTGAATCTGCCAAAAAACAATGTTAAAAAGAGAACAACTTTAGAAAGAGGGGAATGATTAAAAAACAAGTCAACATTAAGATTTAAAAGTTTTCAAAATTCTTTTGAAGAGCAAATAGTTCAGGTAAAGATTGAGATAAAATTCAACAGAAAAAAATAATAATTTGGAAACAAAAAAAAAAAAAAATTGATAAAAAAAATTTTCTTTGATTAATTTAGTTGTATATTTTATAAGTATAATATTTTTAATGCTATATATATTTTGGTACTACGTTTAACATAAAGTATTAATATCTTTTAATAAAAACTTTTCTATGAATCTAATAGACATCTTTGGTGTTGAATATAAAAAGACTTTTCTTTATTGAAGAATTCTTCTCCTCTATTAAATTTTGATAAAGTTGTAACTGTTATTAAAAAACTTCAACATTTGAAAATACAGCAGAACACATACTATTCATAAAAAAAAAAAATTAAAAAGCATTTTAATTTTGATTAGATTTTTAATTTTTTCAATTTTTTTGATTTTTAATTTATTTGATGAAATATTAGATATTTTAAACTATTCCCTTCATAAATTTTAAAAATCATAATAAATCATGTGTATTTATAATGTATTTACAACTATTTTTATTATTATAAACTTAATTTATTATTATATAAATCTTAACTTATTTATTATTATATAAATCTTAACTTATTTATTATTATATAAATCTTAACTTATTTATTATTATATAAATCTTAACTTATTTATTATTATATAAATCTTAACTTATTTATTATTATATAAATCTTAACTTATTTATTATTATATAAATCTTAACTTATTTATTATTATATAAATCTTAAAACTTAATATTACTATATAAATCTTAAATGAATTAACTATTTTTGAAAAAAAAAAACAAAAAAAAAACAAACAAAACAAAAAACAAAGTTCAAATGGTAGTTAAATAAAATTTTTTTTTTAAAATAAATTTAGAACTAAAAAATGACATAAATTACCTCTTAAATAATATTCAAATATCCTTGAGAAATATAAAAAAAACTCTTTAATTTAATTTTTAAGCAATATAAAAGAAAAGCTTTTTGAAGAAAAAAAAAACTCACTTGTTCTTTGTATGTATGAGAAGAAGTTGTTGACATAACAAATGATTTATAATTATTCACAGCTACTGTATAAGGAATTGAAGAGGTTGGGACCTAAAAATATTCAACAATAAGTAACATAATGATCAACTTAAATAACATGGCAACTAAATAACATGGCAACTTAAATAACATGGCTTAAATAGTGGTTTAAAATTAAAAAAAAAAAACTAGCAACTTTTTTAACAAACTCCATGTATGAAGAAGCTTTTTTATAAAATGTTTGCAAACAAGGTGCCAGGCTCTGCTGAAAAAAAAGAAAAAAAGTAAAACAACGCATATATATATATATATATATATATATATATATATATATATATATATATATATATATATATATATATATATATATATATATATATATATATGAAATAAAACAACATAACTATTTATGTAATATTAACATAATAGAACATGACATTATAAAAACATGTCTAAAACCTATGAAAAACTTTTTGTTACTTTTATTATTTTCATTATCATTATTTTTAGCTGACACCTGAGTTCCGTCTTCTGGCATGCCTTTTCTTCTAAAACCATGGATTGTAGACAGGAAGTCAATATTTGAATTGAAAACTTTTTGAATCTAAAGACAAGATCATAACTGTTAATTAAAGAGAGCAGTGGCTAAATCATTGTTTTACACTGGCAAAAAAAAAAGTGAAACATTTTGAGAAATAACATTTAGCTAAAACATTTTGAGAAATGACATTAATCTAAAATTTAGCCACCAATATTTGTTTTTTTATAAAGAAAAAGAAAAAATCATTGTTTAATTATATATAAAAACAATGTTTAATAAATATCTGAAATGAAATTTTCTATTTATTAATAATCGATAATCTTCCTTGCTTTGCTGAAAGGAAAAAATATTCTCTATAAAAAAAATTCTTAGGATTGCAAATGTGGTTGATTAAATCAAAAATATTGAATAAACTCTTTTACAAAAATTTAAATGTAAATTTATGGTTTCAACTTACACAAAAATTGTATCCATTAGCCTTAATGTTTTGTCAAACGTTTGTCACTGTTATTTAGGGTTGACACCATTTCATTTTAAAAGAATGGGAACAAATGAGGTCCTGTTCATCATGCTACCAATGTGAAGAACCTCACTCATCAAAAAACATTTATCGGAAGATACAAGAAACTGAAGGAGCTGAAGACTTTACTTGAAAAATTGTTACAATTTTGAGAAGCAATTCTGCTAATGTTAAAGTAGACTTAAATTTCTTCTACAAGCAGCAAAAAGTAAAGACAAGCAAAAGCAACTAGGGCTAAAAAATGATGTTACAACACGCTAGAACTCAACTTGCTGGAAAGAACTTGCTGGAAAAAACTTTGAAACAATCTTCTAAATTTTTTTTGCCACAATCCTCAAGTTATCATGCCCTAGCTGCCATGCTCAAGCCATAAATTTTTAAGAGAAGACTAAAATGTTTGTAAAAAAGTGTTAACAAATTAAAAAAAAAAAATACTAAATCGATTTCTGAAAGTGAATCTTGTATCAGTTAATATATCTCCAATGTGACAACTACAATACTTTAAATGGATACTAACTTTATAATGGATTTGATAAATAGTTACGATGAGAGGTTAGTAGTAAAAGATAGAGTAAAATGGGGTAATTTTGCCACTTTAGAAATTTCGCAACCAATTGGTGTATATCTACTTTTATAACTATAACTTTACTCAGGAATAAGATTTTTTATAATTCAAATTTCTATTAGAAGAAAAACAAATTTCTTATCAAATTATGTAAAAAAAATTTTCTTTTTGTGAAAACTTGATAAGAAAATTAATTGACAAAAATAATCTATATAAAACAGGAAATTTAAAATTTTTATAAAAATCAAATTATTTATTTCCATTCAAAATTTAAAAGACTAAAATATTGCAAATTTTTCAAAGAATCTTTGTATTGTTTTTTTCTTTCTAATTTTGAGCGGTTCCAAAGTTATTATGGAAATACTAAATGGGGGAAATTCGCCACCTATTTATATTAAATAAAAATTTGTTATATTTGATTGGATAATTAATACTATTTTTCTTCATCTTGTTTTGGTAATTAATTTATCAGGTAATTAATTAATCAGGTTGGTTTTAAAATTAAATTAACTAAATCAATTAATTATCAGCAACAATGCTGCAAAACTACAAAAGAAAACCCATCACCAATTATAGCAAAGAGCTAATGGAAAAAGCCATTGCAAAAGTTAAAGCTGGTAAACTGAGTTGCAAGCCAGCTGCAGAATTATACTGTATACTTTGAAGGACACTAAGAGGAAGAACTCAATAACCAGAAAGAATAGCCAAGGCTGGTACATTAACAAATCTCCTAAAATATCCTACATTTCTGAAAAAAAGAAAAAAAAGAAAAAAAAGGTAAAAATAGGTGGAGGGGGATATGCCCCAATACCTATTGGTATCGATGGCCATGCCCCCACTTATAGAATATTGTTAGATTTTTTTTATTTAACTAATTTTTAATGTGCTTTCAAGATTTATAATTTAAAATAAAAAATTTATGTTATAAATAACATAGGTGGCAAAATTCCCCCAAATTAGATTTTCTTGGAGTAATTTCGCCACCCCATTTTTTCTGTTCTAATTATTAAAAAAAAAAAAAAGTTAAAGTATATAAAGTTTATAAAAATATTATTAACAATAAAAAAAAAATTATATTTTCATTTTTAGTTCTCAAGTTATTTAAATTGAAAGAATTAGTGGCGAAATTACCCCATCTTATTCTATGCAAATATGTAATTTAGTTATGTAATGTGTAGGTTAGTTACAGCTTCGCTACACCATAAATTAAGCTAGTTTAATTTAAAGTACTTAATTTTTTTATGTTGTGTAACTATTAGTTTATTAAACTAAAAAAAAAAAAGATAAAAAAATTGGATAAAAAATATTTTTTTTAAATCAAACCTTCGCACAAATAGACTCCAATGATGATAGAGCCGAAATGAAACACTTATCTGTAGATTTTAATCTCTAGAAATTAAAAAAGTGGAAACTAAAAAACAATTTTTTTAGTTTGACAAATTGAAAAATAGAAATTATTACTTCTGTATAAAACGGTAATTCATGTTCTTCTCCACACTTTTTAAGATGCGAAGAATGCAGAGCTAAAAAAATAAATTTTTTACTATTTCCCACTCACCGCAGCATCAAAATTGAGTTGCTCTGAACATATATTACAATCCATCAAAAAAAATGTTTTAATTTTTTTTTTTTACATATTTAAGGAAACTATATATATATATTTAAAAAAAGATATAAGTGTTCTTCTCACAAAGCTTCTTGTATAAAAGATGTGTATTGAAATGGTTCCACTAAACCATTCCTGCCGATGACCCCTATACCGTTCCTGATGACAATATTAATAATATTTAAATCTAAAGATACTGATTTTAATGAGACCGACTATATGTGTCACTAATGTGACACTATATGTGTCACATTAGTGACACATATAGTGTCACATTAGTGACATATATAGTGTCATTAGTAACACATATAGTGTTATTAGTGACACATATTAGTGTTATTAGTGACACATATTAGTGTTATTAGTGACACATATTACTGTCATTAGTGACACATATAGTGTCAATGAAATATGCAGGTTTACTCAAAAGCATGGTTTCTTAATGCCAAAAAGTCAAACATATTTATTTTTAAAATTAAATCATTAAATTCATTTTTGTGAATAAAACTTTAGATGAAAGTTGTTGCCTTAAATTCAATAAACTTACAATTTATTATTGTAAAAAAAAACAAAAAAAAAAAGAAAAAAAAAAAAAAGAAAAAAAAAAAAAAAAAAAAAAAAACTTACATTTAAATACTGTATGAAGATCTTGCATTACTTGACAAAAAGTGTTTGAACATAAAGTTAAAGATGAAGATGTAACATCTGCAAATAATTGTAGTTATTTATACAATAATCAATAGAAAACATTTAGAAAAGTTTAGAAAACATTAAAATATTCTCACTTGTTGTTGCTAATAACGAAATGTATGAAAGCAACTTTTTAAATAACACTACAACTTTTTTCTCATTAGCTATTATACTCAAGTTACATTTTTCCAATGTGTCTGACCAAACAGATGCTTGAGATTCGTCTTCAAGACTAAAATAAAATCCAATAATTGTCAACATAGATGTTAAGTATCCAATAAATGTCAACATAGATGTTAAGTATACAATAAATGTCAACATAGATGTTAAGTATACAATAATTGTCAACATAGATGTTAAGTATACAATAATTGTCAACATAAATGTTAAATATCCAATATTTTTACATAAATATTAAGCATTTAATAATTGAAACACAGATCTTTTTTTCATTAAACTAAGTCACTCCCAACAAGGCTGCAAGAAACCATTATTAAGTTGGTAGTTATTAGAAAATAAAGAATAGTGTTAATGAGCAAGGAAACAGAAGACAAAAGACTTGAACAGTTTTAGGTTATATGGTTTATTAAAATATAAAGATAGTAGAGAGTTCAAAAGCATTGAATTGTGGGAAACTAGATGAATAAAAGTTTCTAGAGCATGATATAACAAGTGGATGCAACTTTGCTGAATGGCGTGTCAAGCAAGAATGGGTTTTAGTTGATGGAACTAGAGATGATAGCATGTTTGAATAGTGACCATGATATTTGTAGAATAAAGAAAGAGAAGTAACCTGACAATGATGGGAATGTGGCTCAAACTTAGCAGATAGAGTGGGTCCAAACAAATTTACAATGCATTTTTGTCTAGAAGAAAAAGAGCATCATTAGAAGAACCAGCCCAAATATTAGGTAGAGAATGGAATCAGGAGTAAGAAAATGTTGAGCACGATAAAGAGAAGCAACTTTAGAAGATGTTAAATTCATGCATAAATTTACTATTTATTAAATACTGGCACATAGTATGGATAAATATAGAAATAATCATATATTTGCTATTTATTTACATGCTGGCATACAATATTCTTACATAATTATACAAACTTTAGTTAGTAAGAGTTGTCAAAAACACCTAAGGAATAAACATTTTGTAACCAAAGATGGTTTTAACTATTATTCGATTAATACAAACAAACAATCCTACTATACTTTTAACCATAATTTGACTTGATTAATTGTACTGTTGTTGGAAATAAACAATTTAAACAACTCATTCAAAATAAAAATAAAAAATTTAAACAATTCATTCAATAATCAAACTTTAGCCTTTTTTCTTTTAGGTGGACTTTCATTCTTTTAGGTCTCTAATATAAAAAATCTTGAGCATTGTAATTCCTTAACTAAGACTCATACTATATGTGATGCACTCTCCCCAAGTTTTTCTTCTACCTCTAACATTTTCTCTTGAAGCTGCTTTCTCTCTAAATGCTGATACCCAAACCACTTTAATCTTCTCTGACAAATGTTGTTCAATAAAGTTTTTCTAACCTACTTCTAAGATTATGACACCTTTTTTTGTCTTGTTAGAATCATACCACACATCCATCTGATCATCATATCTTTCAGCAAATATATATTACACCACATAAATACTAAAGTTTATAAAAATATGTAAATATATTGTATACCAGCATCTAAAAAAATAGCAAACATATATGTTTATATCCATATGTATGCATAAATGTGCCCCTTAACTAACCTCCTAGATCCAAGCAGGTATGGAAACCTTCTTGGTTTTCATACCTGCTTTTATATTTTATACCTTCTTGTTAGTTTTATGTCAAACCTCATTCTAATCCACGTTTTTCACCTTGTGCAGTTGTTATATTAAACTGTAATCATTTTTTTCATCTTTTTTACACAAATATCTCTCTTCAGAACAAATGTATTTTTATTATTGCAAGAAGTCAATGTAAAAAGGTACTGTCTGATATTAAGTGTTTTGAAAAGGTTTGAAGTATCTCTATTAGAGGGTTGAAAATTTATTATTCAGATATTGACATTAACATTGAGCAGATAACAATTTATCAATATTATAATATTACAATTTACTAATACTATGAATAATAATTTTGAATATTAACAAATAATAAGAACTAATCTTAAATTAACTGTTGAATAATACAACATTAATAACAAAAGCATCAATAACAATAGCAATAATAACAGCAGCAACAATATTGATAAAAAGAAAAATTTACACGGTCTTAACAATTTTCATTAACAATGCAACTGTTGATTGCATAAAACCTTTCGACTCTTAAATTCGACTCTTAAATGATGGCTATACTCTTCTAGTCATTTTAAATAAACAGATTAATCTATTGCTAGACAATTTTGTTATTTTGTTAGTAGAGTTATTCTTGTAAAAAAGATGAAAAAAATGATTACTGTTTAATAAAGCAACTGCTCAAGATGGTGAAAAATGCAGAGAATAATGGGGCTTGACTTAATATTGAAGAGAAGGAATAGAAGCTGCCAAGCTTTTATTTCAGAAGGAATAAAAGTTTCTAAGATGCTCTTCATGGATACATATTTAGGTATAAACATATATGCTATTTATTTAGATGCTTGCAAACAATATCCTTTCATATTTATATAAAGTTTAGGATTTATATGGTGTAGTATTTTCTGAAAGAGAAGATGATCAGATGGATGTGAGGTGTTACTCTAACACAACAAGAAAAGGAGGCATTGTTTTAGATATATGTTAGAAAAAAATATGTTAAAAAAAAAACATCTTATCAGACAACGTTTGTTAGAGTAGATTAAAGTGATTTAGGTATCAGCATGTAGAAAGGTAGCAGCTTCAGGAAAAAATGGTAGTGGTAGAAGAAAAAAAAGGGAGTGCCTCATATATTGTATGAATGAGGTTTAGTTAAGGAAAATGCTCTAAAATTGTTTATATTAGAAAAACAGCATTATAGAGGAAAGCTATAGCCTGATGACGAAGACGACGATGATGTTAATGATGATCATGGTCATGATCATTATAGTAATGATCATTATGATGGTCATGTTAATCATAATGTTTATATATGCATATATATGCAAAATGTAACATGAATTTTGAAAAAAATACACTTTAGGATGTATAACTGTTTATACAGCCCTGGTCACAAACCTGGCCCCAGCTATATTATATAAAATTCGGCCCTATCCATGGCCCCGGTCACTTACTATTTTTAACCTGATCAAAAATGTACTTTATGTAATTTATATTTTAATTATTAAACAAAAATGTATGAAAAAAATAATACCTCAAGATTCTATATGGTAATAGTACTTCTAAATAGTTGACATAAAATTTAAATGAAGTTGAAAACTCTTTGTAAGAAGACAAAGTTTCCTTAAAACATAAAAATTCAATATTCACATGATTATTATGACTAAGTAAAAGGGAAAACAATTATAAGCAAACAAGGCTGAAAAATTATAAGCAAGAACTTTTTTTTAACTAAATATGAAGAAAACTTCATATTTAGTTAAAAAAAAGTCATTTGACCAATCTTCACAAAAAATTCAAAGTGAAGTAAAATAAATAAATGTAAAATATAGCAGTTGGTAAAAATAAAAAAATTTTATTATTAAAGATCAATTTAAGATTATTATTCATAAATTTAAGATTATAAACAATTTTTTTACAACAAATATCTAACATATTTTATAAACAATTTTATCAAAATTTATAATTAACAAACAATTGTTTTAAGGTTTTACTTGTATTTCAGTCATAAAATAAAAGTAAAAAAATCAAACATAAATCTTTAAAATTTTTTTAATTTTCTAAACTATTAACTTAATCTTCTGTAAACATACAGTGTAATCTTCTGTAAACATACAGTGTAATCTTCTGTAAGCATACAGTGTTATCTTCTGTAAACATACAGTGTAATCTTCTGTAAACATTCAGTGTAACTTTCTGTAAACATAATACAGTGCTTTTTGTGCGGATCTTTTGCATCTACTGTATCACTTTAATTTTTGTGTGGATCTTTACAGAGTAATCTTTGCTGCATTAATCTATCGTATCCCTAAAATAAACATTCCATTCTTCAATCATTTTGACATTTAACAGATCTTTCTCTTATTCAATATATCTATTGACATCTGATTCATAAATAAATGGACTGTCTTGTAATTTTAAACAAGCTAAGAATTTCTCTTGAACATCTAATGTAAAGCTTACAGTTCTTTTTTTTGCTAACCTCCTCTGTCTGTTGTTGTGTCACTGGTTCTAATTGTAATTTATACTTTAAAATTTTTTAAGAATGGGACATAATTCCCGAAACATTTCTAAATTACATAAATCTTGATTTCACAATGGTTTGAATATCTAAAGATATTACCACAAGGAATTTTTGTAATTGATGGTATTTTTAAAGCTGATTAAATTGAGTGCCACACTGAGGATTAAGCTCAATGTTATTTGTTTTGATTGTTTTATCAACTACAAAAGTTTGATATTGTATCTTTTTCTAAATCCATAATACTCTAATTATAATACAAATCCATAACAATTTCTTATTTTCTGTCAAAGAAATATAGCTGATTTTGCAAAATTATATATGCATGACAGAAACATCCAAGTTTTTTTATGCGTTTATACGATCTGCTTCTGCAACTACTGAACAGTCAATCTCATTTAACACGTTCACGCCGGCGTGTACCACTGGTGGTACACACTAGACTGTCTCATTGGGCAGCGTGTACCACTGGTGGTACACACTAGACTGTCTCATTGGGGGGCGTGTACCACTGGTGGTACACGCTGCCCAATGAGACAGTCTAGTGTGTACCACCGGTGGTACACGCCGACGTGAACGTGTTAATCAAAATTTCTAAAAAATAATTTATTGTTAACTTTAATAAAAACAAGTCCAAAACAACCTTGAGTAAAGACCTTGAAACTCCAAAAACTTGAGTATGATACTTTGGATGATAAAACTCATTAACTACAGGGAAATTTCTAAAGAATTTTACTAATTTAGATTTACTTGTTTACTAGTTTATGATTTATTAATTTACTAGTTTATTACTTTATTGTTGCAATATTTTTCATTTTAATCAGTATCTAAATTTAGTTCTAATTTACAAAATTAATAGCAATCTATTTTCTAGTGAAAGCAAAGTTTTTACACAAGAGAAAAGCATTTTTTTCTCATTTTAATTCAAAATCCATTCAAAATTTAAATTGCATAAATTTTGACATAAAGTTGTTTAACTTTACACGCAAAGAATATGTTGCAAAGAATCCTAGTTTTTAAATTTTTTTTCATTTTAAATGTTAAAAATAAAAGTAGAACGTTAACCACAAAAATTAGCAAAACCTGAATTGTTTTTTCAACTTTTCTAAAAAAATTAATTAGGAACAACTGGTTAAACAAAATTTAAAAAACAAAAAAATATGTTTTTGGTTACTCCCACCCCCTCCACCTTATTAATAAATATATGGTGGATGAAAAGTAACTGTAAACAAAATAACAATATCAATTTTTACATTTAAAAATGCAGAAATTTAGGTGACATGAAACCTTTATTTTTAAAGAAAATAGCAGATTGGATTAAAAATTGGTAGACATCTCAAGTTTCAAACTCACAAAAGTTTAAGTCTAAGGTTTTGATGAACATCTTTACTTACTGATAATCTAACTCAAGAAGGATATCAATTTTTAACTTCACATTTGCAAACAGATAAGATTGTTTATCTATTAAATCAAGATTAAGAGAGTTAGATGAACATCTTTACTTACTTATAATCTAACTCAAGAAAGTTATCAATAATTTTTAACATAACATTTGTAAACTGGTTAGATTTTCGAATTGAAAACTGTTAATTTTTCTAAAGTATCACCAAATAAATGTTGGTAAATTTTTAATTGGATTGTGTGAATTTGAGACATCTGAATGTATTTTAGCTGTAAAAACATCACCTAAAAAACCAGTCAATATCTAAGAGATAGATAAAAAGAAAGATAATTTAAATTTCAAAAAGTTTTACAAGACAATGAAGTGCAATATAGAAAGTAAATTTTTAATGAGATGAACATCAAGCTGTTGGGTTAAATATTGTGAACTGTATTGTCACAAATATTTATTTTAACAATAAACAAAAACAGTTTTCTGATGAAATTTGCAAGAACAATATAAAAGATTTTAAATGCAAAGAAAAAGATTAAAGTTGAATTAAAAGTTATTAATAATAAAACCTAATTATAATAATTATACTTTTAATTTAGTATATTGCAATATACCTAATATCTCATTATTAATAGGATGTTACTTTTGAGAAATATAATTATTATACTGAGATATACATTTATGTTAATAAAGTTAATAATAACTATTATTATTAAAATATTTTTTCTAAGAATAAAGTACAATACAATATCTATTTTTAATAGAAGTGTTTTAAAACTTTTTTTTTTAAACAAAATCATCAGAAAAAGAAAAGTTTCTTATTTGTCAGACATTTATATACCACTTTGGTCAGATAAACTTTTATTTCATTTTAATTGCAGTAAGTGTAAACAATCATGATTTTAGACGAATTATTGTTTTAAAAAGTTACACTTCTAATTTTTTGCTCTAAAAAGCAAAATCTCTGACCATGCTATTATAAGTAGGCTGTAAATATATGCTGTTTTCCTAACTTATATGATAATGTATTATTTGAAAGCATTTTTCATCTTCTCTAGTTGTATATAGACTTTAAAGTTACATTTTTAAACTCAATAAACTTTAGCTATAACTATTTTTGGTCTAAAATTTATGGTAATCTTTTTAAGAAACCATCCAACATCAACCTAACATCAAAAATCATCAAAAAGCTGCATTTGAAGAATTTAAAGCAGCTCTGGAAAAAATATTCTACAACCATAAACATTTCTCATTATATAGTAATAAAAAAGTTTCTTGTTAATTTATATTAACAAACATATTTTATTGTTATACAAACTGTTTATTGCCACATTTCAAACACTTTTAGTGTTGCTTTTAGATATTTTCATTTCATTAAAATTCAAATAATTAGGTTCTGTGTTGAATTTTCTTCATAAAATCACCTTTAGCAGTTGAAGAATCCTAGATTTTATTTTTTATTGTTATAACTTTTTTTTTCTAAATAATTCATTTTTAGAATTTTCATACTAACAATTCAATTGATTGTTATCGAAAGAAAATGCCCTCTACAGGTGCCACTTTAAAATCCAAGATCATTTTTAATATTTCTATGTACATTTGTTTCATATGCAACATTCTATTTGTTTCATATTCAACTGCACAATTATTTTGATGACCATGATGGTTGCTTTAAAAAACAAGTTTTTCTAAAGCATAATTCTTCTAAAAATAACCTTAAATAAAACTTTAAAAGCTTATTTTTATTACTTTTTTTCATTATTGTCACTACCATAACCATCATCATCATCATCATCATCATAATCATCATCATCATCATCATCATCATCATCATCATCATCATCATCATCATCATCATCATCATCATCATCATCATCATCATCATCATCATCATCATCATCATCATCATCATCATTAGACGAATTTCTGTATAGAAACTCTACATTTTTACAGAAGATTGCAATTTAACAACGGTTGACGATAATGTTATAGTTTTTGCATCAATAGCTCAGAAATTTTTTAAATTACATTCTTAGCATCAAAATAAATTGAAAATAGAAGAATTTTTGAAGATAGCGCACAAAAAGTGATGTTTGTGTCGTGTTTCTATATTTGTCGTTATCAAGTTTAAATTTGCTATGAATCAGTTTAATTTTTATTTAAGTATGTGGCTTGCACTAATCTTAAAAAACTTGGAAAGTAATTTACTCGTTTCACTAACACAAATATCCGCTGTTTTTGAAAAAAGAGAAAAAATATTTGGCACTTTTTCTACTGTGTATTTGTTACTATTTTGACTAGAAAATGTTTAGTTGAGAAAATTTCTCCGTTTCAAGTTGATGCAAAAGTTTACACGCTTTTGAAAAATACATTACAAATGTTTTATTTTGTGAAACATTATCTTTTTTCCGAAATATTTTTGTGTCTTCTTTAATCCTATGATGTTACTTTGTCAATTCATCTCATAAGGGTTTTGTTATAGCAATTTCTAATAAACATATGGTATAGAAACACTGCAACAAAGTCGAGCTTCTATACAAATTTTCAAAAAAGAAACAAATAACGACAAATTATCTACTTTATTGACAAATTCAATTGATTAAACATTCTTTATATAAAATTTAATATTGCTTCGATTAAAATTTCGAAAAAAACAATTATTTCACACATGCAAAGTTACATAGGGCTGAGTGATATATCCTCTTTATT